TTTGTTGTTGTTATTGTTGTTTGTTAGTGTCATTGTTGTTGCTGATGTTATTATTGTTGTTAAGTGTGCTTCCAGTATGTGTGAGTGCGTGTGCTTGTGTGTGTACGTGTCTCTTTTTAAATTTTATGGGTTTGTGATAAATTTTGCAGAAATTTAAAGTGGGGGAGAAAAATGGAGATGACGAAGTTGAAGGTTAAACATTTTTTTAGGCAAATTTTACGTACGATTTTGTTTAAAATCATCCACAAATTTCATCAGCATTTTATGTTTTTATGCAATGATGATAATTCTATTTATCTATTGAAGGGAAAGCTCGTTAAAGTATTGATAGTTCGTCTTTTGTGTGTGTGCCTTCATATTTATTGTCTCGCTTAATCATTTATTTAATTAAATTTTAAAATTATTCAAAATTTATTGTAAGATAAAGATAAAAATTGTTTTTCTTAACAGCAATTAAGGAAAAAAATATTTTATAACCAATAACTTATTCGCAATCACCACAATGCAGTTAATGACCGTAAGAAACGAGCCCCAGAGAATTCTGCCACTGTCGGTCCACAACCAGGTGCCCAGCAAGGTTCAGGTACTCTGTCAGAATCTCAATCAAGTTCAGGTTCTCAGCAAGGTTCAGGTTCTAAGTCGGAATCTTCAAAAGATGCTTTGTCAGGATCTCAATCAGGTTCAGGTTTTCAGCAAGACACCCAGTCAGGATCTCAAACAAACTCACAGTCAGGATCTCACACAAGTCCAGGTTTTCAGCAAGGTTCAGGTTCTGAACAAGGCAGCCGGCTTGGACCTCTGCAAAACTTAAACCTAGGCTCCGGTGCTCAACCCCCGGCTCACAACGAAAACCCTAAGAAGATCTAATCACGTACACTGATTTGTTCACCGTGAAGCCAAAAATTATAACAATTACTTTGAATCAAAATTTACATTCATGATTGAACGAAAGTGGGGTATTTAAGACGGCTGAAATAAAAAGTTTGCTGCGAAGAACTGAAATGGCGAATGCGTCAGAGATTGTTGCTGCATTTTAAAGGGGTTTAGGGAGAAAAAATTTGAGTGAGAAATGAATTTTATTAATCAGTAGTTTTTTCACCACTATTAAATTTCAAAATTAAAATCACCAAAATTAAATTTCACCATTTTCAGCATAGAATTAGATAAAATTGAATATAATTATTATTATTATTCAAAACAACACGGGCAGAAACCCTTGCCAAACAAAAATATAGAAATTCGAAAATATAAACCATAAATAAATAAAATAGGTAATGTACATCATAATAAACTTATCTTATATATATAAATAATAATACACAAGTCAACACAACAAAATAATACAACATAATTAATTAAAGTGTAAAAGATGATAACTATTGAATGTACTATATAGTGTAAAAGGAACAATTATGAATTCATACGCCAATCAAATATGGAGTCACCAAAAAATGAATCTAATAATGATTTTAAAATGTTAATGTTATCAGCGTTGACGGCATCAGAAGGAAGCCTGTTCCAGTCGTCTACCACACGGTATGAGAAGCAAAATTTACGACAATCTTTATGACATGGTCCTGTAGTCAGTTTCCAGTTGTGTCCTCTCGTACGATCGTCGGACGGAAATAGTAGCGTTGGACTAGCCTTGACAGAAACCTCGCCACGTAACATTCTGAACAGCAGAATATACTACTTAAGAACTATCCGTACGCACTATGACATTGATGATGAACTGATTAAAAAATGACAATTGATAATAATAATTAGCTAGGCACTGCACTCAAAACGAAACATGTCTCTTGTGTTTTTATAAACAAAAATCTTAAACAAAAAAATATATAAACTTGTATGTATGAGTTTGTGTGTGTGTTTATGTGTGTGTGTGTATGTGTGTGTGCGTGTGTATGTTTGTGTGTGTGCGTGTGTGTGTGTATGTGTGCGTGTGTGTGTGTGTGTGCGCGCGTGTGTGTTTGTAGGTGTTTTTGTGTGAATGTATGTGTGTGCATGCACGCATGTATATGTGGATATCAACAAACTATGCCGATAATTTTACAAATGCAAATAGCATTAAAAATGATTACGGTAACTTCTCGACTATGTCAACATGCACTCAGGAGGAAAAATAAAAAAACGAATTAACAAATAGTTCAATCAATTAAAGAATTTATTAACCTTTTCTATTACGAATGTTCGAAATATACGATATTCGATTTATCCGGTATTAAATTCGATATATGTATGAATTTCGTTTCGATTTTTGTTCGTTTGTTTACAAAATAAAGGTCCATAAATAATAAACGCTGTTCTGCAAGACCGTTACGTCAACATATCGCATATATAAAATAATATTGTTTATTTTTTAGTAAGTAGTAGTAGTAGTAGTAGTAGGAGTAGTAGTGGTAGTAGTAGTAGTAGTAGTAGTGGTGGTAGTAGTAGTAGTGGTAGTAGTAGTAGTAGTAGCAGTGGTAGTAGTAGTAGTAGTAGTAGCAGTGGCAGTAGTAAAGGTAGTAGCAGTAGTTGTTGAAGTCGTATTAGAAATATCATTATCATTGATATTGTGGAAATGTTTTAATTTATTTTTTGGTTAACTTGTTAATTCATTCACTAATCCAATCATTCATCATTCCATCACTCATTCATTCTTACTTTCTTACTTTCTTTTTTTCTTTCATTCATTCGTTCGTTCATTCATTCGTTCTTTCAATTCATTCGAGGCAGACATGTGGGTTATTAATTTGAATGACAGAGACGTTCGTATGTTTAGTTAGCGGTTCTATTGGACGATAATAAGGTTGTTTGGTTTCTTTGATGTTGTTGTTGAGTATCATCATTATCATCATCGTCATCATCAGTATCGTCATCATTATCATCATCATCAGTATCGTCATCATCATCATCATCATCATCATCATCATCATCATCATCATCATCATCATCATCATCATCATCATCATCATCATCATCATCATTATCATCATCATCATAGTCGCCATCGTCATCATCGCCGAGTTTATTCACCAAACTAAACTTTAAATACGTCAATTGATTTGTTATTAACTGTGCACCAAATATATCATCACACACGGATACATACAGCCGGTATCACACACACACATTCACACACACATTCACACACATTCACACACATTCACACACACATTCACACACACATTCACACACATATTCACGCACACATGCACATGCACGCAATATATAAATGCATTTATTTACATCTGAGACACACTTTTTAGTTTATATATATATATATATAATCATCTAAATAACAATGCGGGCATGTGTGTCTGTGTGTTTCTGTGTGTATGTATGTTGAAACTTGGTGAGAGTCTTCAGAGGGAGAGTCAAGGAGTGTTTCGGCCCTTTAACTTGCTGACACTCTCGAGGAACAGAGTCACATCCAGTAAAATCAATTGGATGTCTCTTACTGAACAAACAATTTGCCTCGCTTTGAAATCACCTCCTTCTGTACTGAAAAATTGTTTTAGCGTGCCAGCAAGTTCACCTACCAACGTATCACGATGTGAGTTGCTTCGGGAGTGTTGAATAATCGGAAGCCTTACGTGCAATCAAGCTAGTCTGTCTGTTAACTATTTAAACTCGTGTGTATGTGTGTGTGTGTGTGTGTGTGTGTGTGTGTGTGTGTGTGTGTGTGTGTGTGTGTGTGTGTGTGTAGGTGTGATATCTATTTATATATCCTTTCATCTTCATCAAATGATTTGCATATTCATTTCAATTAACTCTTAAATAATTGTTAACCTTTTATTGTTCATTTTCACCATTAGCGGTCTTTTGATTGACCTATAATAACCACGCCTACTATTCTTCCTCTCTTCTCTCTCTCTTTCTCTCTCTTTCTCTCTGATTGGTGTTGGTTGGTTGCCACGGTTTAAGGTTTTTTCTAGCTCTCCTATTGGCTGACCGTCTGTGGTCAATTTTAAAAGAAACATTATCATTGGTTGGTAATATTTTTAATTAAGTTCAATAGATTTAGAAAGAGCTTTCAGTTTTTGTTTGCTTTGAACAAATCATTCTTGATTACAAAGCTATAAACTTTTAATATTATTATTAAATTAATTAATGAAAAATTATTCGTACTAACTTAACTGGTTAATTAATTAATTAATTAATTAATTAACTAACTAATTAATTTGATTATTATTATTATTATTAATTACTGATTAAACGTAATACAATGAACAATCAACATAAATCATGTCTTAAACAAATCAACAACAACAACAACAACATCAGCAGCAACAACAACAACAACAACATCAACAACAACAACATCAGCAATAACATCAGCAGCAACAACAACAACAGCAAAAACCATCGCTTCTTAAGACAACAGCGCGTTAAAAGAAAACCGCGGGTTATTTTTAGCACGGCCCAGGTCAATATCCTGGAGGAAAGGTTTGCCACACAGAAGTATCTGACCCCGGATGAAAGGAAGGAATTGTCCGCCATTTTGAAAATGACACAACAACAAGTTGATGATGATGATGATGTAGTTGATGTTGCGATAATGATGATGATGATAACGAATGATGATGATGATGAGGAGGAGGAGGAGGATGATAATGATGTTGACGATGGTGATGATGATGACGACGATGGTGATGGTATACAAATTATGATTATGATGGTGATAAATTGGAAATTTAAATCTCTAGGTCAAGATATGGTTCCAGA